ATTCCAATTCTTAGTCCATGTTTAAAATATCCAAGAAATGTCCACTTAAAGCATCATTTTTTATTTATTTATTATTAGATTTGTTTGTCACCCTTCTCTCTTTGAGGGACTCTGCAGTTTACAAACATTAATGTTATTAACCTATATATAAAAAGTATTATTTCATAATACAGATAAGGGATATGTTTACTATACTTTACAAATTATCCAATGCCATTAAAGCAATAGATACCACACAACTTTCAAAATAAATCAATACACAAATAAATAATTACCATTTCCAAAGAACTGGAGTTGTTGCTGATAACACTGTCACAGCTGCTTGCACTGTCAACAGTTGGTGTGGGATCTGGTTCAGCTATTCCTACCCATAAATCTTTTTTAGGCATATCAAGTTAGATAAGAGAGCAATCCGTATAATTCAAGAGCTCTACGATAAAAAGAAAACAAAACCATAAATATTCTGCAATGTCAAAACATATTTAGGACAAAATTGAGAAATGTTAAATGTTTTATTTTTTTACATTTTTATTTTTTGTACAAGCTTTTTTTTAAAAAAAATATGCTCACTAAATACATTTATGAAAGGACTGTTGTTTTTTGTAGCAGTAACTCATGACTATGCATACAAAAGTGTCCAAATTAACACCACTGAAATTCTCTGGAATTATGGGTAACTTCATTTCATTAAGATTATATAATTAATGAGCACTTCCTTAATCTGAAAGTACTTACCGGTACTCTTACAAACCTGATTTACATGGTGTGTTGAAGGTAATTATGCATCATAAAATTACTGTCCACTCTTAGCAATCACACAAATACACCTTGTCTAGATTGATCTGTCTCTAAGTGGTTGTTCATGTTTTATAATCACCACTGTAATCAAATCCACCCATCCTTTTGCTAGTCATCTTCTTCAGTTTCCCTATATTTTTCCCAACATTATGGATTTTTTAAAAGAGTTAGGCCTTTACATTATGTATTCAAAATAATGACAGTTTGAGCTGCCTTTTCATTTTTGCCTCAAGTGAAAACTTTGAATTGATTTGTACTATGAATCATTTGATTAACTATCCATGAAATTGTTAGGGAGTCATCCAACAACAAAGTTCAAAAGCATTAATGTTCTTTCTATTCTGCTTTTCAAAGTTCAACTTTTACTTCCATAAAGTATCAAAGGAAAATGATGGCTTGCACTTCTGATCTTTCACAACTTCTGAATATCTTTCCAAGGCTTCATTACTACCAAGTACAGGTCTGCAGTGTATTTCTTCCTTTTTGGTTTCTTTACTATTAACAATCAATCTTAAAAGGCAGAAGTTATCCCCCTGCTTCATAACTCAGTTCTCAAATATTGAAGGTATTTGCAAAATAATCTAAGCATTATTTTCTACAATTGTCCTATTACATGTAATACTTCCTTGGGGAAAAAAAGTGAGATAACCAACCCAAAAATAGAAAAAGACTCCAGCACCTCTCCACCAGTAATCGGCAGTCAGGTCAACATATATTAACTCCAAGGTCAACTTCAGACCAACAATCAAGTAGGCAATACCCCAATCAAAAAATTCATCAGAGCCATCAGTAAGCAGCCCAACCAAAGAATCCCTAAGACCACCACCACTCACAACAGAAAGGCAAGACACCAGAATATAAACTGATAGCAAACAGCACTCCTTACTAGCACTGATGATACTACCTAGTTAGGATAATGAAACGTCTGCAAGAAAACAAGCAAACTCAGAAAGCAACAAGGACCCCCGCATTGTAAGCCATTTGCCAAAATTTCCCAAAGGCACGATCAGTTCTTTATCCTTTTATGAACAGTTAGCCAAGCTGGCTGAGGATTATATCCAAAGGGTACCAGGTTAATGAATACTGCTGTAGACTCTGACCCAGTTTAATTGCTATAAAGTTTCCAAAGAGAGCTCAACCCATGGAACTTCATGAGCATGCTGAAGCAGTTTTCTTGGAAAAAACATGGTAATAATTCTTCCAAGATATTTCATGAGTTCCCAGTTCAGTCCGCAGCTCTGGTGTATGTTGGTGGTCTCCCGACTAATTTGACTCTGCTTAGCCTCTGAGTCCAGGTCAGTCAGGTGCGCTACCTGCTTAATCAGTAAGTGGAAATCTTAATTTCTCCAAGGTCATACATGGAAAAATGCATTAGAGAAGCACATTTTATTTTGCTTTGTGAAGACAAAGCAAATTTATTCCCACATAAAATCACAGGCAAGGAACATGAGAGTGGTCTCCCTAAATGTTGTCTTGCTTTATTAATTAATAGTTATAATACCTATTGACTAACAATGCTGAAACAAAATGAAGATTAGCATTAAATAATTCAAAGTTGTAAGCAGTCATAGGTAATGAGCCTATTTGCTTAGGGCAGAGGCCAGGGTGTGTGTTTACCTACCACATACTTGACATTCCGTAGAGAAAGGAGAATGCCTTAAAGAGACAGCTATATACTCAACGCAACCACTTTTAATACAGAAACATTTTAAATTAGGGTTATTTAGATAGCTCCATCTTTCTACTGTGAATAACATGTATTGGGAAGGGGAGATAAGAAGTATATTTCATTCTTCAATGAATTGAAGTCTAGATTACAAACAGGAAGTTCTAAACTATGCCTGCAAGACTAGAATGTGGCCAAATCCAAAAATTCTAGGTTTAGCCAGTATATATGTAGTGTCCTCAGTAATTCTATTATTAAATCTGGTTGCAAGCTTGTAATTTGTCTCAGGTCACTTGATAAATTTTGTTCTTGAATGGAAATTCAACACCTCATTGGCTTGTTGTGGTAAGGAAAATAAGAGACAGGAGTATTAGGTATGTTTGCCACTTTGATTTACAAACAAAAAGTCAGGATAGGTATTAATGCCCATATGTGACACTGATACGTTACAACATCCTAGGTTCTTGGAAAGAACTTGATGAGTATGAAGCAGTGGTGGGATTCAATTTTTTTTTTACTACCGGTTCTGTGGGCGTGGCTTGGTGGGCATGGCAGGGGAAGGATACTGTAAAATCTCCAGTCAGAGGTGGTATTTGCCAGTTCTCTGAACTACTCAAAATTTCTGCTATAGGTTCTCTAGAACTGGTCAGAACCTGCTGAATACCACCTCTGGTATAAAGGCCAACATCACATAAAGAACTGGCAATGGTGACTTCATCTTGTTGTGAACAGAGAATAATAATTCTCATCAAACCACAACAATCTTCCTATTTCAGGTCTTTGGGAAGAACTCACTAGGTGGATAAAAATGCCAAATCCAATCTAAACATTGGGCTGACTGTGTGATAAACCATAATACTATTACTATTAATAATAATGAAGTATTATGGGGCATATACATTAAAAAATATCAGGTTAAGCAGATAATAACAAGACTTGGCAACACCTAGGAATAGGAAAGTTGAAAAAAGAGGCTCAGGGGCTAATTCTGATTGCACAAGGCCAAGCCTTAAGAACAAATGCATACAAAACCAGAATTGAGAAAACTGCAATAGACAGCAAGTGCTACCTCTGCAAAAAAAAAAAAAAAAAAAACACTAAAAAAACCAGTGAAGCCCTGCTGCAACAAAATCACACAGATTGACTGCAAACAGTGACACAGCAAATTAGCAACAATAGTAAATTAGAAGAACTGCAAAAAAAAAAATCATTTGCCTGCAAGCAAAAACTAATAGGACCATTAAATGGAGAAAATAATGGAATATAAAGAAATCAAAGTGCTCAAGAACTTTAGAATTCAAACTGACAGACACCTGCCAGATAACACACCAGATTTAACAATTGTCAATAAGATTTAAACAAAAGTCTGCATAGTGAACGTGGTATCTGGGGACAGTAGAATAGAAAAAACTGGGGGGAAATAATAAAATATAAAGACCTACAAACAGAAATAGAACAACTGTAGCAGAAGAAAGCAAAAATAATATCTATAGAAATAGGCATCTTAGGTGCAATCACAAAAGATCTGGAGCACCATTTGAGCACCATCAGCATTGAGAAAACCACCATCAATCAATTGCAAAAGATAATTGGAACAGCTTACACCTTTCAATAATATCTTTAATACTATCAACTATCAATATCTGCCTATTTCAGGTCCTTAGGAATGATTCAATAGGTGGATAAAAATACCAATACCAGTCTAAATATCTGGCTGAGTGTGTGAGCAACAATAATAAGAATTTAATCCTCCATCGCAGTTCCTAATCACTGTGTCATAACAGTATACTTTCCTTTATTTTGGTGGATTAGTCTGGACTGACAATTATGCAACAGAACATAAAGAAATTAATAGATTTTGTTCCCAAAGGAATGTGTTGTCACTTCCTTTAAAAGCAGGAACCTATCAAAAAAACATATACTTTCATCTCTTCCAAAGTTTTCTATAATATTGTACCTGAGCTACTTACAGACTTTAATTCTAGGCAGGTCCATTGAGAATGCAGTGCTAGACTAGGGGTTTAGTAAGTTATAGAATAGGAATCAGAGGTGGTTTTCAGTAGGTTCTGACCAGTTCTGGAGAACTGGTAGCAGAAATTTTGAGTAGTTTGAAGAACCAGCAAATGCCAGCTCTGACTGCCCCTGCCCCCGTCTATTCTCTGCCTCCCTCCCCTAGAGTGGGGTGGGAATGGAGATTTTACAGTATCCTTCCCCTGCCACGCCCACCAAGCCATGCTCACCAAGTCACGCCATGCCCACCAAGCCATGCCCACAAAACTGGTAGTAAAATAATCGAATCCCACCACTGATAGGAATATGCATTTCTGCAACATATTGGCATTGTCCATTTGCAGGTCTCAAGTCATAAGGGTGTCATCTCAAGTACTAGTAGTACCTTTCATGTCTTCAGTGAATTATCTAATTTTTTGCAATTCATTTTCTCCCAATCCTCCTTTTCTACCATTTTAAAATAAAAAGCACAGAAATCCAATTTTTGGCCATTCTGACTGCCTTACTGAAAATGTTGACTATGTAAAAATAACCCAAAATGAAAAGATTTGAATCTTAATCTAAGATACATTTTAATGTTAATATAATTTTGTTGTGTTTGCTTAAGCAATTATTAACACTGTAAAAAATAAATCTGTCTGAGAGCTTTCCTACCACTCCCTACCCATTGTTAAATACATTAGGCCATATTACCTTGTGATGATGTGGTCATAAGGTTTATTCCAGTAAGTCATGTTTTTAGCTCCACCTCATGCTTGTGTCACATTGTGTAAATTCTTTCCACAAGAGATGAGAAAACTATTCCTCTTATACATATTTAACCTTAGTAGTACTGGCTACATTGGCAGTGATGGTCCACCTCCTCATGGTGCCACTGGATACAGCCCACCCACTTTTGGGTGGTGCTAAACAGATCATGAACCCTGATGCCAGGCCCAGGCAACAAGCTGGTCAGAAATTTTGTTGCTACAAATGGATCGAAGCCACTAGGGCATCCCCCACAAGCGACTCATGCTGCTCCCAACCAACCAATGTGAAAAATGGACAAGGGTTACCAGTCCAGGAGTGGGACTGGTTAAAGAAGCTAGCTCAAAAAAAGCCAAAATCTCTGTACATTGCCACTCTCAACATAGGAACACTGTCTGGATGCAGCCACAAGTTAGCAAAATCCTGAAACACCACCATATTGACATAGCATGCGTTCAGGAGACCAGATAGAAGGGACAGAAATCTAGAGGCATTGGAAAGGTTACAAACTGGTTTACTATGGCACTTCCAACAACTATGGTGTTGCTGTTGTTGTGAGTAAAGATCTTCACAGCCATGTGCCTGAGATCCAGAGAAACTCCCACCGCCTTATGTCTGCCACCATCGATACACCCACCTGCTGACTCCAGGTGTTTTTTGCTTATGCCCCACAAACAGAACTTGATGAGGACACCAAGGATCAGTTGTGGAATGAACTGCAAACTAAAATCTGTGTCCTGAAGAAGACCTGCTGCTCCTTTGCAGTGATTTGAATAGTCATGTGAGAAGCAATCAGGATGGCTACCAATGCCACAGGAACAAAGGTTATAGAAACTGCAATGAAGATGGATTTCAAATCCTGAACTTTGCAGAAGCAAATGATCTGCAACACATTTTTCAAGAAACATCCATACCATCTCGTTACCTTCACCAGTGATGGAAATAGCAGTCAGATCAATTTTATTCTTTTGAGAAGATGTGACCTTCCCATGGGATGCAACACCAAGGTTATCCCCTCTGATGTTCTTGCTCCACAACACAAATTACTTGTTACAGAAAAAAAGGCCATAAGAGAATGAACAGCATCACAGGCCCAGAGAGGATCAAATGGTGGAAGCTGCAGGACCACAAAGAAGCAGTGACCAGAAAAATTGTATTCCCACCTATCAGTGCAGCTACAAGCAACATCACCTAATCAGCACTCTGTGACTCTGTCATCACCACTGCCAGATAAATCCTCCACATTACAACATTAGATCACCATTATATTGACCAAAAAGTATGGCTCTGGACTGAACAAGTGCAGGAGAAAGTTAAAGAAAAGAAGCAAACTTTCAAGAAATGGCAGGCAGATAAGTCCAAAGAGAATCGACAGAACTATGTAACCACCAAAACAGCAGCCAAGATAGCACTTGCTGAAGCCAGGGCAGAACACTACCAAGACCTACATGACCACTTGGAGATAAGGAAATGGAAGAAAGACATCTATTGATTGGTTAAAGCACAGAAAAAGGCTGCCCAAGACATCAACTATCACATGTGCATTAAGCACAAGGATAACAAACAACTCCAAGATAAACAGGAAATCCTGCAATGATGGCAAGATCATTTCAATGAGTCCTCCAACATTGAATTCCCACATCCACCAATTCCAGAAAGCACACCAACACATGATCCAATCCACTCATAACTGAGGAAGTCAACAATGCTGTGGACAAAATGGAGAACCTGAAGGCCCCTGGACCTGACAATCTTCCCATGGACTTCTGGAAACGAAAAGAAGTGTGAAACACAGGGATACTGATAACAGATAACAGATAATCAGAGTTGGACGGGCATTGTAGGTCATCTAGGCCAACCCACTGCCCAAGCAGAAGACCCTACACCTGTGATGGCGAACCTATGGCACACATGCAGGAACTGGCACGCAGAGCCACTTCTGCCAGCACATGAGAGATTGCCCAGAAGAGCCCCACTGCACATGTGCATGTGCTGCCCACTCGTCAGCTGATTGTCAGGTATCTGGCACACATGCGCAGGAGGTGAGGTATGTGCACATGCGCAGAGATGCTCAGGGCACATGGGTGGGTCTTGCGCGCATGTGCAAAGACGAACAGGGGACTCATGCACATGTGCAGAGATGCATGTCACACATGGGGGATCGCACACACATGCACAGAGATGTGCGGCACATGTGGGTGCGTGCACATGCGCAGGGGGCATGGGCCCCCACACAAGCATTGCTTTTTGGGTGCTGGTAATTTTTGGCACAGGAGACCAAAAAAGTTAGCCACCATTTCTGACAGATGGGAGTCCAATCTCTTCTTGAAAGTCTCAAATGATGGTGGTCCCACAACTTCCGAGGGCAAGCTGACCTTGGCTGACCGAGTTCTTCAATGCTGTAACAAACACTGTCCATGTACCAACTGATTGGTCAACAAGGGTAACAGCTCCAATTTTCAAGAACAAAGCTCAGCCAGCTGCCTTCTGTCTCACATTATGAAGATCTTTAAGACAATCCTTGATCAATGCATTCACATTATTGCCCAACCCACCATCAACTATGCGGTTTGTCAAAGGCTGGAGAATAACTGATACCATCTTTGCAGGCTGCCAGCTCATAGAGAAATATCATGAGAAGAGACAACCACTACACATGGCATTCCTTAGACCCACCTAATTGTACTGTATGGCACTGAATGCTGGGCAGTAACAATAGGGACCAAAAGCTATCTCCATGCCATGGAAATATGAATGCTCCATTGGATATTGGGCATCTCCCTTCTTGACCACATCACAAATGATACCATTTGACAGCATTTGGGTGTAGCACCAATTACAGAGAAGATGAGAGAAGGCCAGCTCCGCTGGTATGAACATGTCCAGAGAGCAGCACCTTCCATCATTTCCAAGACAGCCTACCAACTAGTAGTCAATGGCTGGTGACCTCAGGGGTGTCCAAAATAGAGATGACAAAGCACCATCAACAAAGACATGCAAGCCATGGGTCTCCACCCCGGAGATGCAGTTGACTGCGCAAGGTGGCGTATATGATCCAAAAAGTAGACTCTGTGGGAATATGCTAAGAAGAAGAAGCAGTAGGGGTACATCTAATTCAGTGAGGCCACCTTTGCTAGACAGTATGTCCATTCAATGTACAAAAAGCATCTCAATCACATCATCACTCCAGTGAATTGTCTTACACAGCAAAGAGGAAAGTTTTTAGATTACAGGATTTTGGAGGCTATGATTCTAATATTTAATTTTCATATAATAAAACAGCAAAACTCTTAGAATGAATGGCTGAATCCAGCTGCCATTCTAAATTTCCCATAAGGTTCCAGAATGGAATCATCTAGCTCAAGCATGGGGCAAAAAATCTAAAAAAGAGAGCATAGGTAAATATCCAATAGAACACCATATTAAGGCCTTGGCAGCTATTCAAAAGTGCTAAATAGCTGCCAGTCCTGTTTTACAAGTGGCTGCCTAAGTTTAACACAACATCTTGATCAACCTTAATCCCAATTCCTCTTGTCATAGACAGGCAACTTTCAATCAAATTACTTGTCTTGTGTTACAGTATTCAATACTTATTATAGAGAAGTTGTGTAAAACAATTTTCCAATACTTTGGGATTTCTAATGTAGGAAAAGGCTCTAAAATGAGATTTAAAGAAGAGTGAATCAATCATGATATTCATTCAGATTGATTTGGAACTCACCCAACTTCACCCTAATTTTAATTCAGAAATTCAAATCTCTTTGCTTTGAGTAAAATTGAAAATCAAAAAATGAGTTTAACTACCAGTATGTTTTTTTCAGAAAGCACCCTGAAATCTAAAGAATTATAGTATTATGTATTATTCCAGATTTTTTTTTTAGAAAGGTACAGAGTGCTTGCATTATACATCTTAAAAATATGTGGGTGTAGTTTTTTTATTTTTAAATTCAACTTAGGCACCAGCCAACATGCATGGCTCACTCTCTCACATCAACTCTGGGTGGCTCCGAATATAATAAACAATAAAACATAATAAGAATAAAACAAGATGGGATCTATCACTCTGTACAAAAACATAGACAAAGAAACACATTCAGCTTCCATTTTTTATTAGTAAAGAAATTACTAATAACCTTTTTATTTCAATCAGGGATTACATCTGTCAGTACAATTTGAGGATCTGTTTTTCAAAAGAAGACTTCTTTCCATCATATTAGGGTGTGGTATAATTTGTTATGAAAATTACATATGGTACAACTCTAGTTCGAACTGCATCAAGGGGAAGAAACCAGCAGACTTCTGCTGAGGATTTATGATGAACCAGATGTTTCTGAAGGAGCAGAAAAGGCACTGGGGTGGAAACCAGCAGCCAAACATGAATTCTGGCTAGCACAATCTCTCCAGAAGGAGTGATCAAGAGGTTGCCCATTTGCAATCCAGATGATTATTTCTTGTGAGTAGACTTCTGGAACTGTGGTCTTTGAAATTACTTTATGAATTGAGTAGCTGGAGAGGGGATGGTTTCCACCAAGCTCACTGCTGTAAAGTAGGCTTTATGGACATAAAATTAGCATCAGCTTCATTTTTTAATCATTTTTGAATATAATTAACTTATAGCTAAAAAAAGGAGCTATTTGGAACCTTTGGAGTGATAAGTTTTATAGTAGTACAGTCCTTATAAAAAAATTAAATATAAGTTAAAAGACTTTTGAAAAAGATGTAAAGAGAAATCATTTCTTTATTATACAGTATTTCTTTTCTTTCTCTTTACTGTATTCTTATTTTTTTTCTTTAATTTCTATTTTTCCCTACACATTTTATTTTTATTCTTTTATTTTTTTTTAGTTTGTATTAGTTTTAATCTTTTAAATCATAATAATAAAATTTCTATTTAAAAGAGAAAGAGGCTCACCAAAGAGGTTATAATGACAAAAAGACAGCTATTTAAGCTTATTTTCTTTTTCTGAATTGACAACGAAACAAGAAATGTAATAGTGATAGAAGATAGAGCTTCTAATGACACAAACATATAAACAATCAGAATTGTTCATGTATACACCCAACAGTCCATGTTTCAAGTACCTATTTTAGTATTTCTGCTTCTGGGAATGATCATTAATAAACATGCTATATTAATTCAACATCACTTCCCACAGCATTTTCCTTGTGGGTCTAGGACAAGTCACCCTGGCCGACTCTCCACAGCTGACCTGTTGCAGTCGATTTGCCACAGCTGACTCTTCACAGTTGACTTGCTCTGGCCAATTTGCCCTGGCCAACTCACTGTAGGACCATTCAGTGTGGGATGACTCAATACAAGATAACTGTACTGGGACAAAATAAAATATGAATGACAAAAATTAAAATAATGTCAAAGAAACAGTGGCGTATAACAGTACAGTTATCTCATGTTAAGTTATCCAGTGTTGAATTGTCTTGTGGCGAGTTGTCTCATGGCAAGTTGGCTGGAGGAAGTTGGCCAGGGCAAGCTGGGGCAAGCTAGGGTAAGTCAGCCAGGCAAGTTGTCGCGTTCTGTTCCTTGAAAACCCAATTAAAACCATTTCTAGCATTTCAAAATTTTAAACTTCAAAAAACTGAAAACTTCTAATATCCATCAATTATTATAGGCCAGTGCTATCTTTGAACTCACATCTTACTTTGGTGATTCAGAAACATAAATCATACGGACCTCTATAATATTTAGGTGCAAATGTCAGTGTTTGCATTTATTTATGGATGATTTATGAACACCTTACATTTGCCTTAATGTAATACAGAATGATGACTCTCAAACAAATATTTTTTATCTTGATCATCAGTGATGCATAATAATGTCATTAACTGAAAGGAAGGAAGCAGAGATGACATGGTAGATTTACAAACCTTTGCATTAGGCATTTTTCCAAAATAATACCCTATCTAAAAATCAAGAGATTCTTACCAATCAGATATAATTACAATTAATATGATATGTAAAGCAATCGTCTCACACTTTAAGCTCTAAATACATAAGAGTGAAGCTCTTGAAATGCATCATAGGGCTCCACAAGTATTTTTTCCCTTCTCCAAAAACTTTCCTCAAATTCTCAGAAGCATTACAAGAGTCAGGTTCAGAAGCATTGAAGACTGAAAGGTCCAAGCCACCCATCATATTTCTATGTGGAACACTTATTTTTGACAAGCTACAGAGTTGGTCTAAACGCTTTCCCAGTATGTATGTTCTTTAATGAGAATGGAGGTGATGACTACTAAGATTCAAATTACACTAAGTTAACAAGGCTAGCAAAGTGCTAGCAGCACTTCTTAGCATAGTCCTTGCTTAGCCTCCTTTCCTTTATTCTATTCATCAGGTATTCAGTTTCTGTGCAAAAGTTCAGAACTTATTTATATACAGTATACCATACAGATGGAGTTCTGGATACAGAATACGTTCTTTGTACTCCATTAAATTTATGCCAGCTGGTTCCTAGAACTATTGGAAAAATAGAGTTTCTTTATCATTCATATATTATAAAAGTAAAGGTAAAGGTAAGATTTCCTCTGTCCAGGCATGTCCTACTTTAGGGGGTGGTATTCATCTCCATTTCCTAGCCAAGGAAGCCAGCATTGTCTGAAGACATATCACTGGTTATGTGGCCAGAGTGACTATACACCGTGGTGCATGGAATACTGTTACTGTACCACCGAAGTGGTACTTTTTTATCTACTTGTATTTGCATGCTTTCAAACTGTTAGGTAAGCAGGAGCTGGGGCAGCTCACCCCATTATGTAGCACTCAGGTCTCAAACCTGGATTGTCAACTTTTCAGCTGACAAGCTCAGCATCTTTAATTGCCGAGCCATTGCACCCCTCATTTATATATTGTAAAAAACATCTATCGTGTCCTTTTAATGCATATATAGCCACAAGTAAAACACAGATAGAGCACCCTAGTAGTGCAATACCAATTCAGATCATGAATGAATACAACAGTATGGAGTGAACTCTAACCTTCTTTTACCAGAGCTTTTGTTTTCTTTAGTTTTGAAAAAAGGTTTTAATAACATACAGCAGAAAAAGGAGAAGCAAAAGAAGCAACTGAGTATAATTGCCCCTGAAACAGTTATGATATGTACTTGAACTCAGAATCTTAAATTGGCTTACGTCATTTATTGTTTCTGCAGTGGGGTTTATTTCATTCAATTGTCAGAATTAAAATATTTGCATCTAAGTAATATTTTTGAAACACCCAAGCCTGCATTTTTATTGCCATGTATATTGCTGTGGGATTCAAACTGCTTTGTGTAATAAATTGTTTTGTTTCCCCACAAAATTTGATTTGCTTCAAAAGCCAACAACTCTAAACATCTTTTTCAAGACAAAGTTTTACTGAGAGGTCAGATTCCAGTGTCTGAACAAGGTATGCTTGAGAAAAATTCTGGATTCAAGATCTCTCTTTTAAAAACAGCGAAACTCAAAAGTAAGGGTAGCAAGCTGAAAGGTGTGGTTCCAATTTTTTCTAACTTGTGCAAGACTTACTGTGGGTGGCAAAAATCAGTTTCGCTTGTAAAGAAATTTGAACAACACAAAACTCTAAGAATTAACAAAAGTAGTTAGAATAGTTCTAAAAGCTATATTAAATATTAACTAACATCCTTGAATACTAGGTCTCATGGTATCAAACTGTGAACACAGGGCACAGCTATACTTTTTTTCTGGGTACATATTTGAGGAAATGAAACAAGGTGCGCCCACGCTTAAGATACCAACAATACATATGTGAGCTAACTGCACCAGGGAAATGTTATCAGTCATTCTCATGTGACCTTCATACCTGGGACATTTTTTAAATCAGCAAATTGTAAAGCAGAGCCATAGAAGACATATTAGATGACGCTAAGAAACTGCTACCAGTCATGGAACTCTATCTTTTCCTCCTCCAATGCATTTTATTTCAACATGAAACTGTTGAAAGGCTGTCTTTTAAATAAAATTTAATTGTTGTGTAGATACACATTCAAACTTCTATCATTTGCATCATCTTGTTTTATACCAAACTGTTTTACTGAAGATTTAAAAACAATTAAGCAATAAAACAATTGCTTTATTAACGATGGATCAGTATCCAGAATGTAACATTAGTGTTATATATCACTTCTTTATTTGCCATTCAGTTTAACTTGAATACTTAAATTGTATCTTTCCTTGAAAATTCCCTGATGAACATTTAAATCTATATTTCTATGGTTCCTAGCAAAATATGAGAGCCAGTCTGGTCTAGTAATTAAGGCACCATGCTAGAAAACAGAAGACTGTGAGTTCAAGTCCCATTTTAGCCACAAAAACCAGCTGAGTGAGTTTAGACCAGCCACACTCTCCCAAACCAACCCACTTCACAGAGTTATTATTGTGGCGGGGGGGAAAGATGTTGGAAGCTTATTAAGCTTTATTCTTCCAATAATGTTTTCTAATAATTCGCTAAGCACATCATTCATAGACCTGGGTTATTTGTGACCTACTCAAATGAACATAGCCAATACCAGCTTGATATCACTCTTATTTTGTTGTATGTTAAAAAAAATTAAAAGTTGGCGATCCAAATTACAAAGACTATATTCAGCTTATTCCATTGCAAATTACAGAGGCCTATTATACCATCAGCTATTTTTCTGCTATACTTCACAATAACTTGAGTCAGTATTCTGAAGTCAGCACCTCTCAATTACATTGTTGTGGTTTATATGTAGTTTCTTATGACACAACATCTGATTGCTCAAAATATCTCATTTTGCTAGAATTTCTCATACGACAAGACAAATACCAAAATCATCCTACACGTTATAGTGTAAGATGGGACTTACATAGGAGGGGACTTAAGTTCACATAAAGTCCCATGCAGTCCCTCAGAACACCTTTTGCACTGAATTTCAGGGGCATGGTCTCTTGATATTTTGAGGCACAAAATACATATATATTTTTAAAGATGCTGAATAGTTAAAAATATAATTTACAAAATACTCAGATAAATGGTAAATTCTGTGTAACTCTGCCTACTTGTACCATTTTCTTCTCACTACAATACTTACTGAATAAACCTCTGCCTATCTGTGAAACAGAATGAGTGCTAAAGACAGACTCTTGAATGCATCTACTTAATTGCATTTCAATGTCATGTTTGTGGAAAAAGAAAAAGACAGAATTCCAACATGTATGGACAAGTCATTTGACCCTATATGCACAAAAGAGAAATCTCTAATAACCACCAATTACAGCTGCATATCTGCACGTTCCAACTATCTTAATACCTAATTAAAATCATTTACAGTTCCTTTTGTTTCACTACATTCAACTAATAAATTGTAAATTTCCATCCATGTTAAAATAAATTCAGTCAAATATATTATAATTACAGTTGAGGTAAAGTAGCCTTTGTTTTCTATTGCTGATAGAAGAAATAGCTATCTTATAGCAAAAACATTTCTACTCAGTTCCATCTTTCAATGGTTTTAAACTAATACCTGTTCTTAATATAGAAGCAGATTCTCATTGTTTTGTAATTTTGCATAGTAAACATAAGAAATTCTTTGTTATTCCAAAAATGTAGTTCTAGAAACTGGAATCTGCTTGATGCAGTAAGAACTTGATCCTATCAGCAATTTTTTTGTAAAGAAAAGTTTGTCCTGGATACGACTTACTTTCATAAGGAGAAATTAGCCTTTCCACCATCACTGAGTAGCAACTCAAAGGTATGTGAGAATAAAGCCAAGAAAGAACAAATAAATACAATAACACACCGTATCCTTTTAAGCAAACATAGTTTAGTTAGAGTTTAACTCACCTTCGCTAGGAAATGAAAACAATTCCACGTACTCTGCTCTGCACCAACACATCAAACAGGCTATACTACCTCCTCTGTTCTGTTCTTGACCTCCCACTGACTTCCCTAGACAGGTAAATTCCTCCTATCTTTCTTCTCTCTCCACCCTGAAGGTGACTCCTCCCCTAAGCTCTTCATTCCAGCTGTTTCCTAAAGAAAAGGAGAGGAGGGATTACAGAGTTCTTGGCTAACCACATGCTTTTTTTCTTCTATTCTAAACAGTAGCACCCAGAAATGAAGCAAAACAGATGACTATCTTTTTAAAAACTGAATGTTATTAAAGTAAAATGCTTTTGTAGTTAAAATGCTGCTTAGGGCTGAGTTCCCTAGCAAGTGCAGGAAGTAGGTGATTTTTTAAAAAGTTTTGGGAGCAAAAGTAGAACAAAAAGGAAAACCATGCAAGGTTGAAAGTATACTGTCACGATTAAATCCACTAAAGTCAAAGTATGTTATATTCATAATTTAACTTCCTTTGATATTACAGGTAGTCCACATGAGTATAACTGAGCCCAAAATGTATGTTGTTAATTGAAAAATTTGTTAAGTGAGTTTGTCCCATTATACAATTTTTCTTGCCACATTTGTTAAGTGAACCACTGCAGTTGTTAAATTAGTAACATAGTTGTTAAATGAATCTGAATTCTCCATTGACTTTGTCAGAAGGCCGCAAAATGACTCCTGAACACTGCAACTGTCATAAATATGAGTCAGTTGTCAAGCATCTGAATGTGAATCACATGACCATGAGGATGCTGCAATGGTCAGAAGTGTGAAAAATGGTCATAAGCAGGGGGACTTCCGGTTTGAAGGGCTTCGGCGACAGACAGAAATCCGCGATCATGAGCAGTTTCTGTCTGGGCTCGCCGCTGGAGCGCCCCGAGCCAGCTGGTTTCAGGGCTAAGCCACCCCGTAGAGGTGGTGAAGAGGGGGGAGACCGCCAGCAGGGTCGAGGAGAGCCGCATCTCTCCTCCTCAGCTGGCCATTACTCCCTTTCCCGAAGGTGGTTGCAGCGGTGGTCAGAAATGGCCACCACAAAGAAGAACTCGACCAGAAAAGAATGTGCAGGAGGAAGATAAGAAGTGAAAGTTTTGGCTGACCGGGTTAAATTGTAAAAGCAACAACCAAGGTACCCTGGAATTTAAACTTACAAAAAATAACATCGCTCCCAAAGAAGAGTCGGAAGCAGTGAAGGAAAGTGAAAAGGAAAAGGCTTGGCTTTTTTTTTCTTCTCTCTCCTTCCCTATACTGACAACTAAGAGACTTAAATAAGAAATCAGAAAAATCCGCTTTGACATCAATAAACAAAATGCCAAAGGGATAATAAAGATTTCTGGACATTAAAACTTTTCTTTTTCATAAGCAGGAAGGGAGAGAAAAAGAATAAGGGCAGGATCTGAAAGAGGGAGGAGACTGCCTGGAATTAAAAAGAATCTACAGTAAAACTTCAACAAGACTTCTAAAAGATACATTTTAACTGAAATTTTGTAACTAAATAGTAACCCCAGGAAGAGAAAGTGAAAAAAAAGAGCAAAAAAGAAACAACTTGCGTGTATTTGGATTATTTGGTGATCTTTGGACTCTTGGTTATTATATTTAAATGACTAAAATCAATTGGGTGGTTGTTTAAAAATTTATACAATGGCACCACTTCTGGATGAATTGAAAATGGAACTTAAAAAGTACAAAGAAGATGCACAAGAAGGGAAGGGTTCTTTTGGCTTTGTTTTTCAATTCTTAGAAATGGAGATTTGAAACTATGAGAAACAACAAGAAACGATTGCAAAACAAGAAGACTGGGACAAAGAAGAAGCCATCTTTAATGAACAAGTAATTTTATGTGGGGAAGAAAAAGGAAAGGGGGGAAAGAGAATGGAGAATTTAAGACTTAAAAAAAACAACCAAAGAAAAGAAAAGTAATTTGAAAAATAAGTATAATACTGGAAAGCAACAGAAAAGGGGAATACAGAAGAGAGAAATAGAGGTAGAGAGACAAGGGGGTAAAAAGGGGAGAGAGAAGAAGAGAGGGAAGAAGGGAAAGAAAAGAAGTTACAAAGGACCAGAGCAAGATATAGAGAAACAGGACCTATTTAGAGATAATGGGTGAAAATCTAACTGAAAAAAGGATTCTGTAAAGGTACATAAGATTATATTGTTATATCAGTAATAGAAATAACTTTAGAAAATTGGAAACAATGTATGATTAAAATGAGGGATAAAATAGTTAGTGTAACTTAGTGAAATGTTTGTGAATAAAATAAGTGAAATAAAATAAAAGAGAAAATTGAATTAGGAAGGAACGGGAACATTTTAATTAATGTTTTATAAAATATAAGTGAAGGTGGGGGGGGAATTAACTATGGAAAGCTTATAATTGTTCCCATAGAAGTATGATATTTAATTGAAAAGTAATGTTAAAGATGTTAAGACTTTAATGAATATTAATATTAATGATAGAATTGAATTGGAATGGAATGTTGTTATATATATATATTAAGAATACAGTGTGTATTTTAAGAATGTACCAAGCAGAATCCGAATGGAAGTTATGTATTATATTGAATGTTACAACTTTAGGGAAAAGATATAAAGGCGTCATACTCCAATCGGTAACTACAGGAGAAATTTTGTTTAATGAGAAAAGATAATAGGTAATTGAAACAGGACAGACAAAAAATATAAATACAATGATTTGAATTGAGATGAGATAATTAAAATAAAATTGAGAAAATTAAAAGAGGGGAGAAGCTATGCAGAAAATGTAAAATAGTAATAAGATATGGAATAGAATATAAAAATGAGCATGAACCTGAATTTGTGTCTGTACGAAGAAATGTAACCCGGGATTACGCTACTTTAAAAAAAGATGTTTTATTTGTATTTTTTTCTCTTTGTGAAAACTCAAATAAAATTTACAAAAAAAAAATGGTCATAAGCAGGGGTGGGATCCAACCAGTGTAACTACCAGTTCAGTGATTTACATTTTGCCGGTTCTATATCTGCTGCTCTTCACAGCTACCAGTTCTACAGAGCCGGACAGAACTGGTAGAATCCCACCCCTGGTCATAAGCCACTATTTTCAGTGTCGTTGTAACTTTGAATGGTCACTAAATGAACTGTGGTAAATTGAGGACTACCTATCATTGATCTACTAGGAATAATTGTACATAGATCTAATCCTATTTACCTGGCATAAGAAGATGGAAACATTGCAAGTATTTGTATTCATATCTATGGCCTTTTTCATAAAAAATATTCAAATCCAATCAGTAAATAATAAACACAGAGATATAGTGTTTTATTCTTTATTGTTTACAAGTTACTTATTTATTAAGGACTTCTCCACCTATTTCAGAAATAGATCACCTGTAATCTCCACATTTTGGACATATTGAATGAAGTGGACTCAAATTGAAAATCAAAAAGTGAGTGGCAACTGTGGCCAGGTGGGCTTTTGCATAGGTTCATCCTGTGTGCCAGTTGTACCCTATCTTTGACTGGGAGGCCCTTCAGATTGTTACTCACATCATGGTAACCACCCAATTAAATTACTGCAATATGCTCTACATGGGATTGCCCTGGAAGAATACTGAGAAGCTAGTTTGTTCAAAATACAGCAATATGAGCAGTAATAGGTGTCTTTGGGTAACAGATGCTTTTCGATGTGTCCATATATCACTACTGCCACATGGCGTGCATTGGTTGCAAATCAGCTTCTGAATGCAATTCAAAGTACAGGTTATTACCTACAAAGCCCTGCATGCCTTAGAGCCTGGATAACTGATAATATTTGTCCCCAGTTTTTTCTACTCACCCTGTACATTCCAGCAGAATGTGTAAGCACCAGGATGCTTTTATTAAATGTGGTTATCATGTGGGATTGAGGAAACATGCTTTCTCTGTCACAGTCCCACCTCTGGAACATCATTGACCCAAAAAGGACTGCACCCTCTCTCCTAGAGTTCTGGAAAGTTCTTTAAACTTGGCTTTGGTTCCAGTCCTGGGATTGTTGGGTCTCTGAGACCCCTATTAAGACAGCTTTCAGATTTATTGGTTTTTACCATGTGGTGTGGATAAAGAAAATATTTTAAAAGTGTTGTTTTCATTTTTTCACTGATAACACAGAAGTTTATGAAATTAGAGCTGGTTTAGAATGGACTTTTGTTGTATATGTTATTCCCTAGATGATGCCATATGGTGCCATATATAGTGCCATATAAATGTGATTGGTTAACAGTAATTTCTGAATTCTGTCTTTGGTCTATATAACAGACTTTAAGCCTAAAGCACTAGATAAGTCTTTTGTATATATCCAGCAGACCATGATCCAGACCAGGGGTGGGATTCAATTTTTTTAACAACCGGTTCTGTGGGTGTGGCTTTGGTGATGGGCATGGCTTGGGTCATGTGACTGGGTGGACATGGCTTGGTAGTCATGTTATTGGCTGGATGTGGCCAACTCAATATCACTCACATCGTGGCACGCATCTCCTCGCCTGGCCTCTCAAGACTGTGGGGATGCTGCAACAGTCGTAAGTGTGAGAAATGGTCATAAGTCACTTTTTTCAGTGCCATTGTAACTTTGTTTTTTTTTTTGGAAAAATACTTTATTAGTTTTACCTTAAAAAGAACAACATAACTACAAATTTTGTACAACAAAAAGACAAATAGGCCTTGGCATAGGCCAAGAGGGAGAGAGAAGAAAGCCTAAGAGAGGGGAAAGGGAAGAGTAAGGGAGGGGAAGGATAGAGTAGGGAAAACAGTTAAAATAAAACCATATTTTGTGACTGTCTGTAAGATCCTTTCTTCTTCAAAAGTATCATCGGCGGTGCTTTTCTTTATCTCTGCTTCGGAGGCCCTCGGCCATAATTTTCCTAGAGGTGATCTATCTTTTGTTTTAGCCAATTATACAAAGGATTCCAATTGTAGTAATAGGATGAGGATTCTTTATTTTTTAGTGCTTGGGTTAGTTTGTCCATTTCAGCGCATTGTAAAATTTTCTGAATAACCATATGTTCAGTGGGAATGGAAGATAAGTTCCAGCACTGGGCAAATGCCAGTCTGGCTGCGGTTAAGATATGAATTATAATATACTTCGATTTTTTGGGTATTTGTTTATCGAAAATTCCTAGAAGGAAGGACTCTGGTTTGTACTCTATTTGTTCTTTGGTTATTTCCTCTAGCCAGCGCCTAATT